CGAAAAGTCTATAAAGGATTTTGCAAATAAATGTTTTATTTTAACCTTGATCAAATAAACCTACTTTATATTCTTTCATTTTATTTCTAATAGTCTTAATCTTCAGTTCATTCAAATATTGTTAAAGGATTTGATTTATTTTCAATTCTTCTTTATCCCATCGCACAGATTTCTTCAAGGGTTTAACATGACTCTTTTGTAGATCTAATAAGAAAACATTTTCCAGGTCATTATTTTGGTTTATAATTTCTTTTAAACCTTCAGCCAGTTACTTTTTATATCCAATAAAGTGCCTTTTCCAAATCATTCTCTTGGCCTGTCATTCGTAGTTGTACTTTTGGTACTTTTTCTCTCATCAGACAAAATTTGCTCCACATCTGTCATTTCCTCACCGAAATCTTTTGGACATAATCTATCCATAGAATCAGACTGACACTGTTGATATTGTAGCTACTAATTTCTGGCTCCATTCTTCAAAGATCTCCTTTAATGACATAATCTATCCATAGAATCAGACTGACACTGTTGATATTGTAGCTACTAATTTCTGGCTCCATTCTTCAAAGATCTCCTTTAATATTGCCAATGTTGTGATGTTTTGTGTCATTTTGTAAGTCCCAGTTACCTGACACCAAAAGCCGACTTGTATTTATTTTTCCTTAGAATCTTTAGGCCCCTCCAGTTTCTAAAATTATGAAGTAGTTTACCTTTGTTATGAGCCAAGATAGCCAAAATAACTCTGGTTCCCATGAGAAGCTATTTTTTATAGTTAATTCCAAAATCTTATTGTAAAACTCAATATTCCAAATTTAACTGGACCCTTAATCCATTTGTACCTTTTTTAGAACAAAATCTTATTTAGCTTTTTGCGGTTTATTTCAAATTCTTTAACTTCTTTAAGCTTGTAATTACTTCTTTTGTTCAGAGTTGAAGCAACTCACCTGGAGGCTTTTCAAACTTGTCATTCTGAAGGTCTCTAATAGCTTTAAGATGGTTAATTGGCAATTTCTGGAAGTGATTAGAAAGTGAGGCTTGCAAACTTAGTGTCCTTTAAAAGGCCCTGCTGCAGTTGTGAGCAAGATGGCTAATCCCTTTGTCTCCTGGCGCTCAAACCTGTGGAAGACCGCTGTCCTCAGGCTCCTCATGAGGAACAGCTGTCTGGAGTACATGTGGGCGATCTCCCATCCTCTCCTTATCTGGAGAGGTTCCAAAGAAATGGTCTAGTCACCAGTTCTTTGGTCTTTGCTGCAGTCATTGGTCACTTTTACAGAGGCATCTTCAGTTCTCCATGCCTCCCCCAGAAGCCCATTCTATTCAACTTTCATTGAAAAATAAATTGTCTCTTATCCCCTATATACTTTTCCTCGTGTTTTGGTTTTTTTTCCCCCAAAATCCATTTAATTGTGTCGAATTCTTGGAGATTGCCTGGACAAATCTCTGCAGTTTTCTTGGCAAGGCTTTTCAGAAGTGGTTTGCCACTGCCTTCTTCCTAGGGCTGAGAGAAAGGGACTGGCCCAAGGTCACCCAGCGGGCTTTGTGCCTAGTTGGGACTAGAACTGACAGGCTCCCAGTTTCTAGCCTGATGCCTTAACCACTACACCAAACTGGCTCTCAACGGTATGAAATGAATTTCATAGGAATTTTATAAGAATTGAGAGGAAAGAATTTCTCTCAATTCTTCCTCATGGTAGAATTTATTAATTATTCATGATGTGGCTAAAGTAGGTGCAACTGTTAAAGAACATTCTTGCTACATGCTGTGTGTTGTCTGCTGTCAACTTCTGAGAGTTCCCCCACAGGCTATTTCTTTAGACTTGAACTCTAAGGAATCTGGCATATTACCTGTTCTAATGCTCAGCCGAGGTAAGCAACCTGATGCTCAGATATTTTGGAGCCAAACTCCCACAATCCCTTGTCACTGGCATTCCTACATTTGGTTGATGAAAGCTGAAAATCCAAAACATCTGGCAGACACCTGGGCTAGCCAAACCCAAATTATTATTTACTCTTGTCAATATTAGAAAAAAAAGACAGTGCTGCCATTTTAGTATTATATGTATTTGATGAATTGTAAAAAAAAAAGTGTTCTTAAAAAGGCGCAAGTGATATATATTTCTGTTGCTAAGTGCCAATTGTGCTCTAGCTTACACAAAACAATCCTGACATTTCCTTAAGTAGAGTGTTTTCTTTTTATCTGTAATGCTCTGCAGAAAACTCAACAGTAATGAAATGAAGTGATTTGAGCTCCATGAACAATCTAAACAAGTTATAGTAAAGTCACTTTCTAAATCTTACTTTGAATTCTTATTAACACCTCTCCATTTAAAAGAGTTACAACTTCTGCTTAGATTTTCAAGAAACCTTTTTCTTTGCATATAATTTTGTAAAGTATGCTCTGATATGGCAAAATGGAACAAAAAAGATCTAGTTGCTACAACCAATTATCTGTATTTCTTTGTCTCTTCCTGCTCTCTGCTCTCACATTCTCAGGGCTGCAATGATGTACTATTAAATTCCTCACATGTCAAACTGAAGCCTAATATAGGATATGCCAAGTACAAGAAGAAAGTGCTTGTGACAAAGGGCATTCACTTAGTTTTTACACCTCCCCTGATTGTCAGATGTTCACGATCCATCCCTGACAATTTAGCAAAACATGTCTCAAACTGGTTAATAAGATTCACCTGGAAAGCAATACGTAAATATATGAAGTAAATGAATAAATGGAGAATATTACCTTTCTTTCAAAGAAATCGAAATATAACCTTCACGCCAACAAATAATGCGTTTGGGATGTGCAAAAATTAGATTGCAAATTGTAAACAAAGATGATGAGAAAAGGCAACAAAGAGAAATCATAAGAATTTAGTTTTAATGCCTATGGTTGTTTTCAGAAAGTCTAATTAATATTTTCTTATGTGAATTGCCCTGATTTAAGAAAATATAATATTCTAAAGCCAACACTTTGTCTGATTTAGTTTTGTTTTGATTAAAATGTAAAAGGATTCCCTTAGATGCATCTTTTACAACCTTAATCAGCTTATTCCATTTAATGACTAGCCAAAGGCTAGGAATTATTCTCTCAATACTTTTTTAAAAATATATTTAATCTATATGTAGGCAGCAACATGAGTTTTCTCTAGCCTTGTAATAAATATTTAAAATGTTTGAAGTATTTGAAGTTATATGGAAGCCTTATTACTTTCTTTGTAATCTTTTGCTGATTTTGTATGACCATTGTTACAGCAGCAATTCTCCCCAGTAATTCCATCAGATGGGAACAGTAATAGACCACCACTGTAGTTCAAATGGTTACATAAAACCCTTTCTGTGGAATAGGATATACTGAACAAATTCTAATGAATACCCAAACTGTTCATGAAGAACTAAACTATCTGAAACTTTTTATGGTTTCAAAAGAAGTGTATTTATTACAAATCAACATGCCCACTTATCTCAACTCTGCAGCGCTACCCATACAATTAGTTCAAGTGAAGCAATTACCTCAGGTGAAAAAAATCTGGCTGTTCCTCTGGTAGCCTCTGTGTTGCTTTTCCTTGGAGGATAGAGCTGTGTATAGCGTACATGTCCTGCCCTCTAAATGAAGCTACCATCTCAAGCAATGGATACTACACCATCACCAACATTGAGCAACATTCAATGGGCAGTCCAGAAAAGTTCTGTACACGGAATACGGAGGTGATGCATCCTCTCTTTCTCCTTGGGCCACTAAACATTTGATTCTTGACCTGCAGTTCTCTTACTTACTTCCTCTCCCTCCTTTCTTCTTTTCAGTTTTGTCTTGATGTATACACTTATTCACAAGAATAACTTCATCTCATTTCTTATTAGAACCTAAAGCTTACACTTCTCTTGCAGCAATATATATTTTCCAGGCATTTTTCTCAAGACAGTTATTGCAGATTCATGCCCTCTTCTCTATAAAAAAGGAGGTTTAAGGGAAATATTACTATTATTTGCAAACATATAAGGTATATTTTACGTGTTCCCTGTCAGAGCAACCAGTTAGATATATATATAATAATCCAACTATAGCTATACTGAAAATGTAGGCATAACTAGTTGTGCCAGAATTTATTCTGTACTTTTATGTGTGTCTTCTTAAAAAAGTTTTTATACACGCTGATACTCTCTGCACCTGCTATATGCGTAGCTGATGACTCAGATTTATAATCATTTGCATATATTCTATCTCCAATATCAGTGTTTGTTGAGATTCCTTGAAAAGGGAAAGTGATCAGGCACTGCAATAGTGCAATGAATCAGCACTTTCTCTGTTTTCAGTTTACTGACTCACCACCCGTACTTCCAGCCTCCTTGATTTAATAAATAACATGTCCAACTTCTATTAAATGTGCATCCCAATTAATACTTGGCTATTTCAAAGGAAGCAATAGCAGCACGTTCAAACACTGTTCTCCAGTGAAGAAGACAATCTGATCCTCCTTTCAGTACATATTTACTTTGAAATACGCAAGAGACACAGTTTTATATTGAGGATTACCCTGGATTCTTTTATCCATCCTTACATGCATGTACAATTTATGGTGGCATATAAATATTGCTGGTGAATGTTCTTATCTCCCAAATTTTGAGTATGTTGCATGGTTGCTGACTTTCATGCTGCCATAAACAGCGTTTATCTGGGCTTGGCTCAGCAAAACATGAATAGGGAGGGATGAACTACCCCAACAAAAGAGTTTTTTGGGAATGCGTGGGTATCTCCAGAAGACCTTGGATGAGTGCCCTCTGAGTGGTCGTGGTAACTGCATAACTTTGAAGAGAAGATCTAGAGAGGCATTTTTAAACACATGCACGTTTTCCTAAGATGGGTGAAAGCATGCACATGTCTAGTGATCACTATTGCCAGGTTAAGCTAATTAGTCTATAGGTATATATTAGGCAAATTTAATCTATATTAAACAAATCATATGCTGCTGAACTATACAGTAAATTACCTTGGACTTTTTAAGACTTACCTTCTCTGCAAGCAACTCTCTAATTTTGCTTGCTTGGAGGCGAAACTTCATCAGCTGAGATTCCATAACTACGCATCTTTCTTTCCAGTTTATTATCCTTTCTGGCTCTAGGAAGTCTGCCATATTTATGCTTTGAAAAAAGAAACAGAAATATTCAATATAGTTTTGACTGTTAACATACATACATTTACATGTATTGTACAAGATCAAAATCATTTACAATTCTCCAATAAGTATGTTTTTTATTACTTCAATACTTAGCATTAGACTATGTCTTTATGCATAATACAAATCTATGATGGCTGTTAGATTTGCAAAATTGTAAATTCGAGATAACAGATAAAGAAAATCCCAATTCTGATTGTAAAATATCAAGTTACCATGAACTCACTTATATTGCAATAATCCAGCAATTCATGGGTAAAAATTAATTATACATCATATTGTTTAAATGCGAATCATCTTCCCCATTTTTGATTTTAAAAAATCTGTTATAGTAACAACTCATAGAACCTCAGGGACTCACAAGGACTCTGAAATAACAAAGATGAAGAAATAAGGTAGCAATCATACACACTTAGTGAGTTCCAGTAAAATAAATGGGTTTTATTTAAGTAGATATGTATAGGATTATGGCGTAAAATAGAAAGCATTATGTTTCTGGTTCAATGACTATTTCTTTTAAAAAAATACATTTCTACTTTATCTGGCAGATCACACAACATTACAATACATTTTACACAATTTAAAACAAAGCATATAAGCAATGCAAATATTAAAATATATTAAAACAAATAAATTATTGGCCACAAATAATACAGCAATAACTTTCTGAAATGTCATATACCATGATGATTAAAAATAAAATCCAAACTAATTTTACTCATACAACTTAAAGATGATCCACTACCCTCTTCTCAATTTCTGTTGTAAATATCACGGTATCTTTATTATTTTTAAAATGTAATAAAAATGTGAAAATGTCAATTGCTTAATAACAAAATTGCCAGTGGTCTTTGACTTCTGTTCTATTATATCACTCATACAACATTCTGACTTCCATTATTGTAAAGGGGTTTTTTGAGTTATAATTCCAGAAAATTATTTGCTTTGCATTTTTCAGAAAGCAAAGGACTATGGAAATATTTGCTGGCACAGTATATGCTGTTTATATTTGTGGAATGAATGATCTTATTTATGAGTCAATGACTTCCTGTCTCTTGTTTGATTCCTCAAGGGAAAAATAAATGAGTTCATCACTTTGGCTTGCTCGTATTCTGATTCAGCGTAATGAACCTACACACATTTTCCCTCCTGTGCCTTTTTTTGTTTTTTGTTTTCATTTTAAAGTATAAAATAACAGCACAATCCCATGCAATTTTATTTAGAATAAACTTGTCTCTTTGCTTAGAATGCAGGATTGTAAGCTTAGATTTATTAATATTAATACCTTACACAATAAGTAGGATATTAAATTTGACAAATTTGATAAGATTACAGTAATTCTTTTTTATATACTACATGTAAAGAAAGTTTCTTTTCACTTGAATGGATAGCATTTTAAGTGCTTTTATTTAAAGATTAATTCCCATATTTTAACACCATGATATAGTGATCTAACATTTTACTGTGGGATCTATTAACTGATATAAGGCACTTGTGAAATTATCAACTCAAAATATGAACAAAATCATCAGTGACTTTTCAGTTTATACTGTATACTGAAGAGAGTAAAAATTTGTTCCTTTTTAAATTGCAGGGAAACACCCATAAAGTTCAGTGAGGTTAGGGTTTTGCCCAAAATACTTTCCCAACACATAAAGTAAACAAGTATAAAAAGGAAGAACTTTGTTTCTTTTCTTTATAGTCGCTTATTTCCCTCTTTTAGTAACAGCCAGATCTACTTAAAATTACAGTATAAATTTTGATATAAAAGGAAATCACTTCTTTAAAATGATGTGTTAGCTGCAGGTTTATTACTTGTAAAAACTGGAAAGAAGGATTTCAATTTTCAGCTAATGGCCACTTCAGAAGGTAAGTGCTTAGAGATATAATGTGATGCAGAACCTGTCTTCCTTAAGATCCAGCTGAAGTACAATCCTAAGGCAATCCTAGGCAGAGTGACCATGGAGAGAAATGTTGAAAGCCGTCTAACAGCCATCTCCAGAGAGTGCCTGTAGGTCTGAATAACCTACTAGGACTAGGGAAATCCAGATCTAAAGTAAGGTTCCCATTACTTTATAGGGAAAGCGAAAACCATACAAAAAAACCCCAAACCAAAACGTCCTACACATTATGGCTTAGTACCCTATGTAAACTCAGCCATTATCTCCCACATTAACCTACTTTATAGGGTTATTATGGGGATAATATAGGGGTAAAGGAAAGAGCCATGTAAACTACTTTGAACATAAATCAGTAAAAACCGAATATCAACAGAGACATTTCAGGTGTAAAGAGTATGGGCTATTATATTTCCTATACTATAGCTAACTTTTATGTATCGTACTACGTTGTAGTATGTTGAGTAAAGTAAAATTGCCTGGGTTCATACATCGCATTAATTAATGCCATAAACTATGCTTTGTCATCCAGAATGGATGGGTTCATACATCATACATCAACCAAATGACGTTATGGTTTAGCACTATACTGTACATAAACCCAACCATTATCTCATGAGCAGGCTGGCAACTAAGTGGCAATACAATTATTGATTGGTGGTGGCTACCTAATACCACAGCAGATGGGCTGATTTGGGTCAGTATGTATTATTATTTATTTGTATTTGGGCATATTTAGACAACACCGCAGCCAACTTTAGAGAATTAGGCATTCGGTATTAGGACTGCCAGTGTTCCCCCTTTCTCAGGATATATAATCCATTACTACTTTTATTGTTGTTGTTTAGTCGTTAAGTCGTGTCCAACTCTTCGTGACCCCATGAACCATATTGCGCCAGGCCTTCCTACTTTTATTGCAATACTTTTATCTATCAAGATGCTGGCAAGATGTGTTATTTTATACATTTTTACTGACACTCCCTCACCCCACTATACTCATTAGAGAGGTCTATCTCAGAGAATGATCCTTCTGGAACATGCTGTTCATTTCCCATAGTGATATTCTTTAAAAATGTTTTACAGTTCAAGGCTTTTCCACTTATCACAAGGGAAAAGATTACTGACCATATTTCCAGCTCAAAAACAGTTTAGAATTCCGGGAGCCTGGCCAGAATGAAGAGCAAAAGAATTTCAGAGTGGGTTTTCAGGATATGGAGCAAGGGTGGGTAGGCCTCAAGTACATGGGGATCTTTTTAAAAAAAAAGAAAAGAAAAATTACTCCCAGGTTATTCAGAGCTAGGTATAAAAGTCATACCTTGAGAACTATGGATTCTTAGCCCAGGGATTTATTTTGTATACCAGTTCTGAATGGACCTCATCAGTAAGTTCAGTAAGTTCCACTCTTGGCTATTCTATGCTTATTTTATTGCTGTGGGACAATGTACGTCAAGGAGGAAGAATGTAAGCTTGTTGATACTATTGTTAAACAGTCTGATGTTAGAAAACCTTCCTGATCTACTTGAATTCAATTCAATTCAATTCATTCAGTTCAGTTGTTGTTATTGTTATTATTAATTAATCTTCTGTCCATTCCTGGTAAGTAGATGTTGCCATGTATGCCACATTTCCCTTGGTTCTCCTCCTGCTTGTAGAATAGTGACAGATGGGGGGGGGGGACTTGCAATTCAAAAGTATAAAACTCCTGAATAGTACTTTTTTTTGACACCGAGTCTAAACCAGATCTCAGTCTCAGCGAAATTCAGTTCTGGCATGATGCTGAGGAATGATAACACTGAACATACACAGAGTGCCTTTTCCTCGACATAGCTAGTCCTCATGCTTTCTGTTACTGTAATGTGAAAGCAGCATTTCATGGCACTTGGATCTGAACCCAACACCTCATGGCATCTAATTTAACATCTGATTTCCCTTTAATCCAGTTATGGATACCTTGCAGAATTTACAATCATATCAAATGTATGTAACTTGACACACAAGCAAGCCGTACCTGTAACGTGTTAAAAAAAGAAATGCCCTTTCTCCCAAACCTCAGATGTCTGTTACCGAGTTTCAATAAAAAGGAACGTAGGGAGAAAGAGCACTCATGGAGCTGATATCATCCCTTCAGATACTCTACGGTGGAAGACCTGGTGTGGAAGTTACTTTGTGCGCGACTCAAAGCACGATACGACTAGCAATATTAGCAACTTTGGACACCTCGGGGATTACAATTGCTTCCCATCCTTCCTCAACATACAAGAGGATCCTGTTTGACCTAGTCTTGCCATTTTAAAATCCCCCCCCCCTTTTTATTTTTTGCTGAGCCAAGAAAGGAGAAAGAAGGAAAGACGGAAAGAGAAAAGAAGAGGCAGGTCTAGGGGAAAGACGGCTCCTGCTCTCAGCAGGCTCTCCGCTCCTCTTCCCGCCGCCTCAGCTCGCTCGGTGTCTCTCCCCGAGGAGGAAAAACGGGGGACTTTACCCGCCCCCCCAAGTTAAGGCACACCTGCGGACGTCGTCATGAGGTTTCCGGCTCTTCAGTGACTCCCACTGACGGGCCCGCGCCCCTCTCCCCGAGATCTCAGCGCCTCTCCCCGGGCAGCCCGCTCAGCGCTAAGGGCTTCGGCAGCACCATCTCCTCGGTCGGCAGGAGAGGCGGCGAGGGGCCCGGGCTGAGCGGCAGTTCCCCTGGCCATTCAACAGCCGCTTAGGCGGGACTTGCAGTCCACTCCGGCCTCTCCGCAGCAGGCTCAGTGGGGTGGGGGCATCCATCGCCCGGGGAAGCGAGGAGAGTGAAATCAAGTTGTGGAGCAGGAGTAGCGTTGGGCCTCCCTGTATGCTGAAACCATAGAGGCTGAATTGGATGCCCCTCGCTGGAAAGCACGCTACTGTACTTCGCAGCCCGGGCCTATGCAAGATCAGCCCGCTTAAGCCCAGTGCTGTCGACATACGTAGATGTAGATGTGTCAAATTAAGCCTGAGGTCCTTCTGTCCATCCTTGGTCTTTATTTCCGAAACAGCAGAAGGGTTCAAGTCTCCAGAAATTTCAGCTCAGGCATGGGAACTAGAGGAGTTGCTAATCGTGGGTTGTTTAGCAAGCTGCCAGGGCGGTATACAATTAAACAAGATAACATGCACACAGAACAATAAAGAACAAATAACATTGATCAATAAAAGACACTCCAAACAACTGTGAAACAACTAATTATAAAACCATCAAAACCAGCTATTAACAACTGATGGAATACTTGAAAAAATGAAAGGTCTCACTTGCCAGAAACATACCAGCATTCTAAACTGGGATGCTGTAGAAGACCTCCAATAGAAGAGAATATATGTAGCTCAGGGTTGAACTGTGGAGTCCTTGGGGTTCTCTGAGCTAGGCTGTTTACTTGCCGACGTCTCTCTTCCCCCACAAGAAATACACTCCATAGGAGTGGTGGGGGGGGGTTGTGTCCCGTTTTTCAAAATATATATGTGAAAACACAA